GATTATAGTGTAAGCGTAGGCCTTTGGTCGCTGCCACGCCCGGCACGCCAGCCCGAACGACACCCGACATGGCGTGGCCTGCAGCACGATCGAGTCCTACGCCCCGTGCACCGGTACACGCAGGCCATGCCACCGCGGTCAGATCGCATTGACGCAATCTGACGTGGGCCTGGTCCGTAACCTTCGGGAGCGTTCTTTGCATCTCGAAACGCAACGGGATGTCGCTAGCGTGGACCACGACGAGCGTCTGCATAGCAACGTGCAGATCGACACCCAACGCCTGCCCGTAGAGTGATAGGAGTAAAGGACAGCCTACACCGCTTTGACCGACGACGCGCACGACAACACACTATTTGAAATTGAAAGCTGCGGTGGGTGCCAGCTTTCTACACTATTTACGATGCTGCATCATAAATCGTTGCAAAGACGCGGCTTCAACCGCGGCATCTCCCTTTTCAGTCTGAAATACCACATAAAGTGCAGCGTTCCACAAATATACCTTTTAATGTCAAGAAAAGTCTTCTAATGGCAATCTATCGAAGTGGGTTGTCAGATACAAACCACGCGTAGCAGCCACGTCCAAGAGATGTGGCGCAGAGCTTTGCATCGAAAGATGGGGGTTTTGGGACCCTCTTTTCGTCAAAGACGGGGCATGGTGTCATCGTTGCGGATGGGAGGGATTTGATCGGGATGGATTCCAGGCAGCACCAGCTGGAGGGCAATCGTCGGAGCAGTATCAGCTGCGCCTCGCCCTAGCGCTTCCTTGCGCAAGTACCCGAGCAAGCTGCTCTACATCTTGGTGCTTATCGCGACGACCACGGAGCTTCTTTCTGAGCTTCCTGCAATGCAAAACTTGGTCCGAGCTACTCCTACTTGGTAAGCGGCAAGGTTCTGAATCGCAGAGTTGCGTCATATCTAGAATGCAGTGCGAATCAGCCGCCGGATCGTCGGTGGCCTTCGCTGGCCGGCGCGTGGGCCGGCCAAGTCCATTCCGCCGTCCGTTTTATCTCTCATTGGCGGTCGCTGGTCGTGCATCAGAACCGTAGCTTCATATCAAGCATGGCGTAGCGCCATGTCATTTGACACGCATAAATTGGGTCATCCTTTGCACACTTTCCTCAACTAACCATTGAAGTACGTACTACGACTGCTATCGATCACTACTTCTACCAGTAACTACTGACGATGCGACGACCGCCGATTCTAAGCGCCTCTGCCTCCTGCTCCGACGTGGCCTTTCGCGAAATGACACTTGGAATCCAAGTGTCGTATCCGGATATCCGCATACGTCGGCAGCACTGGTGGCGCCAAAACGCTGGTCAAAACAAAGAAGGTATTATAATACCCCTTGGGTCAAAAGTAGACCTGGAAACGGCGCAATTAGACGACGAAGACGCCACACGGAACCCGTTGGACAAGTTGTCCTACACATGTCACACGCATGGATAGAAAAAGCCCGTCCAGAGTGGCAACGATCTCGTTTGCCGTCAGTCGAAGCGCTGGGTTGTGGGCAGTGCACACTAGCGACATCGCCTCGAGCTAGGCTTGGCAATCGGAGGACAACGCGGGTGCAATCTTGCCGTGCATGACCTAGTAGAAAGCCGTTGGCTTCAAGAGCAGGCGAGGGTAGCGGCGCCGGAGGGCCTTGAGCATCGAAGCGTGGTTGTCGAGGATCGTCAATGCCTCGTCCTCGAAAAGCTCGGTGCGGCCGTTGAGCTCCGTCTGGAGAAGCACTAGCGTTGGTACGTACGTGCTCAAGCGCCACGGGTGCAGCGACAGCTCAGCGTGCAGCGTCGAGAGCGTCTCGATCCACGTGCCGAGGCCGTGACCGTGGGGAGCGTTGGTTGTTGTCGCCCGGATAGCTTCAAAGGACGTGATGACAGACTTGACGACTGCGAGGACGCGACTGGCGAGCTTCCATGGCCCGTTGGCTTTTATGTGATTGGGCCGGGCTCGAGTCGAGTCGTCACGACGGTCATCGGTGGAGAGACAGTGCGCTGGCTGCAAGTTGAGGGAGTCGACGGGGGCGGCTGGCGTAACTGGCCCTTCTGTCGACATGCCGGCGTGGAAGGCGCCCATGGGCAGACCGTCAAGACACAGGCAGCATGGGTCTTGCGTCCCAAAAGTAAGCGTTTGCTTGCTCGGCGCACGTGTCTGCGGGTCGGCCACCGAACGCGGAAAGGCTGGGAACGACACGTAACGAGTGCCTGCCCCAAAGCCGACCGCAGGCTCGTACAAGGGACAAGGCTCGAGTGTGCCAAAGGTGACCATGGGTCTCAGACAGGGCGTGTGGTCATCGTCTTGTCTCGACGCATACGAGCCATCCTGCTCGAGGTCGACGAGAGGGTCGCGAAGGCGGCACGGTGCAAGCGTACCAAAGGTGATCGTCGGCTGGTCAACGGTGGCGCTAGAGTCGGCAAGCACGACGAAGCACCGAGTCGTTGTCGCCACGAGGCTCGTGCTGTCGCGGCTCATGCACATCGACAAGCCATGCGAGTAGCACGGGTCTTGCGTGCCAAAGGTGAGCATCGCCACGCTGCCCGCATGCAGGGTCGTCGTCTCGGCGAGGAGGAGGAAGCGCTGGGCCATCGGCGTAGGGCTGTCCAAGCGCATGCTGAGCTCGCTGTTGCTGCCTCAAGAGCCGGCAGATTCTACAATAAGCCGAAAAGAAAAGGGAGCAATCGCCTTGAAGCTCACTCCCAGGACTATGTGCGCTAATGCCTCGGCCATTGGCCGTGCAGGATACGGCCGAGTAGCAGCTGCTCCACGACGCAGCGCCAGCGTCGCGGCCCCGGACGTCGCTTGCTCGGCGCCATCGGCATTGCTCGGCGCCATCGGCATGGTTGCCTGTCTCGTCCGGTGCACGCGGCCCAAGATATTTTTAACGAGCCATAAAAAGCAGGCAGATGTTATAAAACATATCAAGCGCAATGCAGCACATTGTCTGCGCAGGCAACGACTATTATGTACCATCAGGCAAACACAGTAGAAGGGTACGGCTGAAATCACTTGTGCGTTGGCTCATTGCGCGTGCCTCCTCGAGCTTCATCTCTCTCGTTCCTCAACATTACACTATGGAACCTTGCCGCTGGCCTCCGCTAGCCGTGGCAGAGCCTCCTAAAGGTAAGCTGTCAGCCTGCCTCTTGACTCACACACGATTGCAAAGCTTGGCGCGCAAATGAAACTGGCTTGGCGGTTGTGGCTAGGCTAAAACGGGCACTGGTGGCAACCGATCCATCTTGGTATAATGCATATTGTCGGGCACCAAGGAATTCCCACTTCACTCTTGGCAGACTGACAAGAACGTATGTCGCGCAGCAAAGTTGGGGCCGCGCCAACGACTGGAAGCAGCTATCGCGTGCGGCGCCATCGGCTTGGCTTCTACGCTTGTGTAGTGTCGATGCTCAATGTCTCGTCTTTGGTACGTACCTATGACGCGTCCTTTGCTTCTTGTTGACGACACGGTCTGTACTAGCCGCTTATTGCTTACATCTCGGAGCCCCTTCCCTGGCAAGGCTCCAACTTACCACCCACGACGTTTACCAACTACTCCGACTTCAACGCAGCGTTTCTCGCACTCAACCAACGGCTCTACTCCAATTCGACGCTGCCGGTGGGCTCCATGTTCCTGGCGGACAAGGCCAACAACGTTCGAGTCGCCCGCGCTCTCCTCACGTTGCACGCGCAGCCAATGCGCTTGGATGAGTGTTTCTCCAGATCGCTCTTGGGGCTCCCAGGGCTTGTCTTTTACACGAGCGCCATCATTGAAAACATCTGCGCAGCGCT